GTTCTCTTGGGTAGAAGAGAAGGGAAAAACACTAAAGTGTAGCAATTTTCTGATTAAAAATGATGGCCAAATCTCATACCAAGCTCTATGCTTTGGTCTATGTGGGGACTAGAACAAGAACATCTATTAGCTTTGATTTTCTGCATTCTCTCATACAATGCATACCTTCTTTTTATTAGATAAAAAACTTCAACTTTTAGTACTTGAAGTACAAAACTATACCTCTGAGCTCAAGAAAATTACCATCATTTTTAATCAGAAAATTGCTACACTTTAGTGTTTTTCCCTTCTCTTCTACCCAAGAGAACCCTGCCCACCTAATTTTATCACCTTTGTAATTTTAATTCTTCCAGTAACAATCCTTGTCCACGTTATAGTATCTTGTATACAGTAGCTATATATAGTATCAGTATATAGTATCTTCATTTTGGAAAGTATGGGGAGGGAAAAGGAAAAAAAATCATAAAAGGGAAGTATGAAAAAGGCATGCAGATGTACAGTATCTTGTAAGGAAAAATATAATTGTGATTTATACCAAATAGATTTGAATAGTGAATTTTGAGATAAATAATATTGATCAGAAAACCAAAATTTTATCAGTGCAATCTCATCTATCATCTATCAATCATCTATCCTGTGAGATATGGTGATCATCATGCTTCTTACCTAATTATCTACACATCTATTTAGTTTAAACTGCTTGTCACCTCTAAATACAATACTGGTCAGATTTCCAAAATTCTGCTAATGCCCATAGGATTTTCCCCTGTCTGGAATGTGATTTGTTTTTTAATGAGTACTAAGAAAATGAAATAATTCAATGTTATGATAGCAATATTGGTAGTCCTTTATTAATTGGACCCGGAAACAGTAATTAAGTAATGCAATCATAAATTTAAAAACCATGCGAACACAGCACTTAGTGATAACATTTCCAGGAGTCCCATTTGCCATCATTAAGCAAGGACCGTGTGGGTTGTTAAGTGAGAACTTCACATTTCTGCAACTTCCAACTTCCTGCCAACTTCTTTCCTTGAGCTGAGGTGGCACAGTGGTTAGAGTGCAGTGCTGCAGAATACTTCAGCTGACTGCTAGTTGCAGTTCAGCAGTTGAAATCTCACCAGGCTCAAGGTTGACTCAGCCTTCCATCCTTCTGAGGTGGGTAAAATGAGGACCCAGATTGTTGAGGGTAATATGCTGACTCTATAAACCGCTTAGAGAGGGCTGTAAAGCATGGTGAAGTGGTATATAAGTCTAAGTGCTATTGACTTATTTGCTGGAAAGTCAGCGGGGGAAGTTGCAAATCTAGATCATGTGATCTGAGACACAGTGATAATCATAAGCACATGGTCCAGTTAATTATAAATTATTCAGTGTTTTTTTAGGATGAAACAGTCACTGAAAAACTGGTCATTGAACAAGGATACTTCTTTTCAAATGGAGTTGATTGCAAACAGTGTCTATGAACAATATATCCTTATAAGTTTAGTCAAATAGCTAAAATAAAAATTCCCTTCATCTAGATAGCTTTAAGTGTCTGCTTGGGATGTTCAAGCAAATCTGAAAAGATTACTGATTTTGGATAGCAGTAATGTATAACATTGGATTTTCTAACAGCCATAATTCAGCTCAGGCGTGAATCATTCTGTATGCGCACGTTTGCATTTCTTCTATCTTTTCTTGTTTAACATCATTGTTCCCATAAGTAGAATTGAAGTACTAAAGTACTGAGATACCTCGGCTACATTTTTAAATGAATAAATAAAGTAGTAAGGAAATACAAAGAACATTTCTTGAACATTCCACACTTCAAATCTAATTATTAAAACAACTCGCTCAGAATTCAGTGCTTCACAGTGAACAAATTGCACAGGAGAAAAGGGTAGGACTAACTATGGGGCTCCCAGGCTTAGCAGATTGTCTTCTCTTTCCATTTGCTAAAAATACAATACAATACAATACAATAGCAGAGTTGGAAGGGACCTTGGAGGTCTTCTAGTCTAACCCCCTGTNTAAATCGGAACTGAGCATGCCTGGCTGTGGAATTCTGGGAGTTGAAGTCCACAAGTCTAAAAAAAATTGAAACCCACCACTGTTTCAGTGCCTCACCAGCCATAAACCTCACCGCATGTCACAGATGCAGATCTTTCAGCTTTAAACATTTACTGCATTTCAGTACCATTGCAATTTTACTGACCACTACGGTAGAAGTGAAATAGAATATATAGGATTGGAATTGTGCTGTTAAAAAGTTAGACAGAACTCTGATTTCTCTCCCACAGTACTGGCAATTCTCAGTGAGAAAGCACAACATAGCAAAGGGTTAAACCCTCCAGATCATACTCCTGATCTGAATCTCTTTTCCCCACTATGTTTCACTTCGCTTTCACTTTGCTTTGCTTTCATGCAGAAGATGTGTTTATGAAGGCAATTATTTTTTTATTAGCACATTGTACACTGTGTTGGAATAAATTTTTCCTTCTAATTAGCTAAAACATAGTAAAAACTTGTATTGACTTTTTTCAACAATTATTTGGGATTGCTTTTCCCCAGTCTTTTCTTATTCTTTATTCCCATCAAACAATCTAAATCTCCCCCATGATGGAATGGGTAGATAATAAAACCCAATCATAGACTGGATAACTTATTTTTTGTTCTGAACTGTACTTCCTCAGGAACAGAATATTCCATACTGTATTTCATGATGGCTGGATCTGAAATAATTAGTGGATAGACCAATACCAGAAATTGATAAGATCAGTTACTGCCTCTTGTGCAATATTTTGTTCAAATTCTCTCTTTCTCCCAAATATTAGGCTACAGGAAAAGGGCAAACGACAGCTTTCATTAACATTCAAAGTGTTGTTGTTGCTTTTGTTTTGGTTTGTATAGGTCAAGGATCTTATAAAACTCAGATAATAATAATAATCTTAGATTCTGGTAGCACTAACGGAGTATCCCACATCATATAAAACAGAGTAAGCCATGTTCCCGCCAGTACACTAAACTGGCTCTTGTGTAAAGTCAGCTGGGTGACTTTGGGACAGTCCCTCTCTATCAGCCCTAGGAAGAAGGCAATGGCTTCTTTCAAAATCTTGCCTAAAAATACTACAAGAATGTGTCCAGGCAGTTGCCAGGGGTCAAGACTGGCTTGAAAGTACAGGGGAGAAAAAAGCATTCTTCCTAAATTGGTACCAAGACAAACAGGTGAGGGGAAAGTGAAGGGCAGGTAAGGTCAGCCCTTCCAGATATAGCTGGCAGGACACATGACTAGATGAGATTATTCTACTTTACTGTAAGGCTACATTAAAAGAATCTTGTATGTCTGAAGGTACAAATCTCTCACCATTACTTTTAACCAAAATCGGAACTGGCAGCGACCCAGGCCAAACCGGTTCTCCCAGCGGCACTGTAGGCACTGTCATCTTGTTTTTTTGCTTCTGCACATGCGCAGAGCAATTTTAGTTGTAATGCGCTTACACGCACAGAGCGCAAGTGCTCGCGCACGTACACCCTTGAGTAAACCAGCAGTAGTCTCTGCTGGAACCCACCCTTGCTTTTAACTGCCTCATCAGTTAGGGTGGGTCCTTCCTAACTTTCTTCCTCTGATAATTAAGCTACTGGGTGCTCTATTCTCTTTTGTCTGACCCTAGGCAGCTTCTCTTCCTCTCCTTCCTTAAGGTCATTCTCACGTACCATTAGAGCTAGAACTGTTGGCGTGTTGGAATGAAGACCTGAAGTTATTGAACTTATTAAGTTTAGAGAGAGAAAAAATAAGCTGGGGTGGGAAAGGGATGCAGACATAAAAGTGATGCCACATCTAAGGTAACATGTACGTTGTTCTCCAGTTTTCACCCATTTTTTACTAATGAATGAAGCTTGAAAGGTTGTGTAACTGATTATTTTTGTGGCATTAAATAAGCAAACATTGCTTGACTGTAGATCAAGACAGTAGGCCCCAATAACATATAATTAATAGGAATAAATATATAAAATTTTGCATGAATTCCACTACTGTTTCACATAGTGTAGTTTTTTGCTTAAGGGGAAGGATTTTTAAGTAGACCAAATAATGGTAGGGAACCAGAATGTCGTGAAATAAAATGAAAAGGAGACAAAGCCCCAGAAGGGATTTATATGCCATTGGTATATTTTTCTTCTTTTTTTTTGCAATTCTTACTTAATGCAAAAAAGGACAAAAATACCTTGAGATGTGAAGAGATATACTGTATTCAGCTCACTATATAATATTGAGGAAGTTCTGGTGTTAGCTGATGAAAGAGGTGAAGGCCCATTCAGTTTTTCAGCAATTTATAAAATAGAGTGCCTTTATCTACACTGGGTTTTTAACTGTTTGTTTTGACTTTACCACAGAGATTCAGCGGTCTCTAACAATAAAACACCACATAATAGTTCCATCAGCCACATTGAATCTGTCCTCCAGCAGCTTGATGAAGCTCAGGTGCAGATGGAAGAGCTCTTCCATGAGAGAAAAATTAAGCTGGATATCTTTCTTCAACTCCGGATTTTTGAACAGTACACTATTGAGGTAAGAATTGCATTGGCCATTCCAAAATGGAAGAGGTTTCCATGGAATGGGAACAGGTCTTGTTTGATCAAACGAGTTGTTAGGAATCAACAAATTGGTAATATTTTCAAATGTCTTGCAGCTTTTCTATCTAATTAAACAAGGATCCCTATATTCTACAAGCACACTTAAGCTATTAATAGAATATGACTATGGGAAGTAGATCTTTTTCTGTCAGAAATAATGGCACAATTTAGATCGGTAAGCATAAGTGATTGCAGAATGATGATTTATACAGGCTTTCAGAATGCAGGATAGAAAATATTACCCAGGCAAATACTATTAGCTCCAAGAAAAATGCAAAGGAATACAATAATCTGCAAACAAAACAATGAGTTTTTCAGCTCAGTGCAGTTTTGCTAGGATTAGAATCTGGGCAGAGTTTTAGAACTCCATAGACCAGGCCTTCTCTGCTGTGATCTCTCCTAGTTGGCATCATGTTCTATAGGCTGAAGTTTATTCCAAAGGAAATATGTTAATTAACATATTCTGAAAAAGAAATATTTTAGTCCTTGGAATCATGATTTCTGTAGGTTTAAAAGGTGGAAGTGCATGTTTGGCATCACTCTTTATTACAAGATAAATAGTTTTCATTTTGCTTAATTTTAGATATTGCTGAAATATATCATAGCTAGAAAACTTAGAATACTGATGGAATATTATCTGAGGAAGGCTTCACAATTCCAGTAATTCACATGACTATTAAAGGAAACCCTTCTATCACTATTAGATCATTAGCTCCAAATTTATCTGTGTGTTGCACTAGATCTGCTGAGAACGTACCACCTCCAGAATCAGACAGCATGTTCTGAATACCAGCTGCTAGGGAACTGCAGTGGGGAAGAACTGTTCCCCTCCAATTTGCTTTTAGAAGGCATTTATTGTGGCCAAATTAATATGAATAAGTATTCTGGTGTGAACTATGATAAGTTACTTTTCTATATACGTAGAAAAATATTGAATTCAGTTGAATTTAACTTTTAAGTAGAGAGATGAAAGATTGGATTGCTGTAAATTTAGCTATTCTGCTTTGTAAAGCACAGTTAGTCCCTGACTTACAGTCATTTGTTTAGTGACCGTTCAAAGTTACAAGGCATTGATAAAAGTGACATGACCATTTTTCACACTTACAACCATTGCAGCCTCCCCATGGCCATGTGATCCAAATTCCAATGCTTGGCAACTGGTTCATATTTAAGACTGGCTGCAATGTCCTGGGGTCATATGATCAGCTTTTGTGAGCTCCTGATAAGCAGAGTCAATGGGGAAGTCAGATTTATTGAACAACCATGTTGCTAACCTGACTGCAATGATTCGACAGTGATAACAATTGTGGCAAGAATGGTAATAAATGGGGGGGGGGATTCACTACACACATATCTCACTTAGCAACAGAAATGTTGGCTCAATTGTGATTGTAAGTCAAGGACTGCCTCTGTGGTTTCTGGTCCTATACAACATGAACCCATTAAATTACATCTGTTCAACAACTTTGGTAAAGTAACAATGGTTTAGGAAACAGATTAACCTATCCAGTTACCCACCTATCTAATTCACCCTATGTCAGCTGTAGCCATAAGATACTAGCTATTAATGGTTTTGTTGCTTCTGTGTCTCTGTTCTTCTTATTGCATATTTGATTATATGTTTCTTTTTATAATGTTCTAAGCCCTGTGAGGATTTTTAGATTTAAAACAGGAATAAAAATATTTTAAATAAATAATTTCAAAAACACTGGCATGCTTGAAAAGGCAGCTCTTTTCTTTTTTTAAAAAAAAACCAAGTGCTTTTGAAAAAACAAACATTAAGTTTAAGGAAGCTTAAGCAATCTCATGGGTAGTTAATTTGTTCTAATTTGGGCATGCCTAACGATCTCTAACTTGAAGATTTCCTTTAAGCATTCATAATTTTCAGTCTAAAATGATTTTCTAAGTTTTTACAGTAATGAACCTCTTTACAAACAACACATAATTAAAGCGCTTCTCAATTTCACTGTAGCTTATGTGATGGTAATTTTAAAATTTCTGGAATGTAATTAGGTTTATTCTCTTCTGTGGTTGCATACTCTATTTTAGATATTTTCCCCCTGGTAACCTTAATTTTAATGGTTTTGCCTGCTTATTCTGCATTGCTTTTTTTCTTTGAAGGTGACCGCTGAATTAGATGCCTGGAATGAGGATTTACTACGTCAAATGAATGATTTCAACACCGAGGATCTCACCTTGGCTGAACAACGTCTGCAGCGGCATACAGAGAGGAAGCTGGCTATGAACAATATGACCTTTGAGGTCATTCAGCAAGGACAAGATTTGCACCAGTACATCATGGAAGTGCAAGCTTCAGGTAAGTGGAAAGGATAAATTTCTCTTCACAGAAATGTACTACATTATGACTTGAGATGTCTACCAGGAACAAATACAAAGGAAATTAAATCAAAAGTCATTTAATTTTTCCGTACTACAGTAAAAGCTTTCCTACATCCAGATAGAAACTTTCTTAATCTCTCAGAATTCATAAAACCAGGTAAATCCTAAAAGGAAAAAATAAAGAGGCTACAAAAGACAAGTGGCAACAAACAAACCTGATACTGGATAACTGGTAGTTTAAACAAGATGAAAAAGGAATCAGGACCAGATCAAATATTTTGCCCTTTCCGTTTTGAATCCTGTTCTTCTTTATAATCTGAAGTTTTGGTGTTTTATCTACTAGAGACAATCTCATGGTATTAAAAATACCAAGAAAAATGACATGAACTCGTGTTTTGTAATGCCATCAATCAAAGTAGGTTTTTTTTTTAAAAAAAAATAGTCCTAATCAGCACAGTAACAAAATACTGTAGGTGGGGCAAAAGGCACATTACTTCTGTCTCTTCACATTAAAGATTTTGTTTTGCTTTTCATCTGATTTAGCTTGAAATAGCAATAGCACTCATATACTGCTTCACAGTGCTTTACAGCTCTCACTAAGCAGTTTACAGAGCCAGCATATTTCCCCCAACAATCTGGGTCCTCATTTTACCCAGCTCTAAAGGATGGAAGCCTGAGTCAACCGTGAGCCAGCCAGGGTCGAATTGCTGACAGTCGGCAGAATTAGCCTGCAATACTGCATTCTAACCACTGTGCCACCACGGCTCTCTATTTATATGCAAATGTTATATGGTCTAAATAATCATTTTAGTCAACTCTTTTTAACTCACAATTGACATAGGGAAAAGCTCCACCTCTGAGGGGTTCTTTTTTCATCAAGGATTTACCAGAATACTTATATATAAGTATATATGTGTGTGTGTGTCTGTGTGTTGTATTTGTGCTGATAAATAAATAAATGGAGACTAGTATAGATCTATTTCAAGCTATTTAGCTCTCATCAGCTAGCCATACCCTTACTGGGATTCGAACCTGGGCTGTATTGCATATTAGGCAGATGTGTTAATCATTAAGCCACAGGCTCTCCTCCGTTATCAAGCTAAGCCAGACAGAAACCGAATATTTTCTTTTTTTTTTTTTTTTTGATTT